CTGAGTGACTCTCTCACACTGAGTAAGGCTCAGTCAATGCTGTGTTCACATTAGCACTGAACTGGCATGAACATGAACATGAACTATGGCGGTGGGCAATATACTGACCCCCTTGTGCTGGAGAAGGGACGTAAGCGACGTCCGTATAGTAGCACGTCTCGGGCTTGGGGGTGATGTGCCGCTGGAGGGCGAGGAGCCAGAAGCTCTTCTGGTGGGCCTGTTGTCTGACCGAGAGGGTCGAGCGCTACGGGGATCACGCATGTGGAGTAAGGTGTGGTGGTCCTTTATGCAAATTTTGCACTTGGCTCCACTACGGCATGATTCCCCTGAATGCTGATGAGCCAGGCAGTTGGAGCAATATTTGTTACTTAACACGGCTCGGAGACGCTTCTCGGGCGTGAGCTTCAAGAAGCGCTGACACTTGCGTAGTGCATGGATGGCCTATACACACCCGGCATCTAAAAGAGTCCGTTCCTTGACGATGATTGGATGCCTTCGTTGACGGTGCCATGCTGGTTCTCTACAGAGGAGTGAACTGGAGAATAAGATGTAGGACAGGTGTTATTATGTGATGATTTTATTTTGAAAGAGGGATTAGTTGCTTTTAAGGATTAGTCGGTGGTGCTATTTGCCTCAGTAGGAATTAGGACCAATTTGGCTATTGGCCTTCGGATGACACCACGAGCGGTAAGCACGTCCACTACGCGGACCTTATCATCTGGGCCTGGGCAAGCCAGCTGGACTCGGCCAAGGCGCCATTCATTTATTGGTATGTTATCTTCTTTGATAATCACCATATCACCGACTTGGAGGTCCCTTGTAGGGGACTACCATTTGTTTCGCTTATGGAGCTCTTTCAAATACTCATTCTTCCACCGTAAGCAAAATTGGTGGTGGAGCGCTTTGAGTCGCTGCCAGCGGTTAATTATAGAAATAGCGTCTTCTTTGATTACTGGCTCGTTAGTTGACAGAAGAGGGCCACCAACTAGGAAGTGGCCTGGACTTAGGGCCAATAAATCAGTCGGATCTTCCGACATTGGAGAGATTGGCCTGGAGTTAAGGCAGGCTTCAATCTTGCAGAGGAGAGTCGCGAACTCCTCAAATGTATATTTTGAGCATGCGGTGGACTTGTAGAAGTGGGTCTTAAAGCTTTTGACACCTGCTTCCCACAATCCGCCCATGTGAGGAGCGGCAGGAGGATTGAAATGCCAACACAAGTTTTGATGGCTATGCTTGGATAAGATGAGCTCTTTGGTCGCTTGCAAGAAATCTCTCGAAAGAACGGATGACGCTCCCACAAATGCTTTCCCATTATCTGAGTACATCTGTTGTGGAAGGCCACGTCTTGCGATAAATCGCGAAAATGCGGCCAGGAATCTCTCCGTGGTTAGATCTGTGGTGGCTTCTAAATGGATTGCTTTCGTGCTGAAACACACGAAGACACAGACATAACCTTTGGTAATCTACCAATGTAGCTTTTAATATCGAAAGGTCCGGCAAAGTCTACACCCGTATATGTGAAGGGTCGGGAAAAGGTTGATCTCGCCCTTGGGAGTTCGACCATAAGTTGGGTCTGGAGTCGTCTACGGTGTATTACACACCCTTGCAGGAGTTTATGGTAGATTTTACCAGGACATTGAGCTTTGGGATCCAGTATTTGGCTCTTATGAGGCGTATTACCAACTGATTGCCTCCGTGAAAACAAATGAGGTGGGTAAATCGGACCAGGAGGCGTGAAAAATCACAATTGGCCGGAATGATTATGGGGTGTCGCTCATCATAGCCTAACGAGGTTGACGCTCTCACCCGTTCACAGGATCGCAGATCGATGAAAGGGGTTAAATTGCGAATGCTGTTTGATCCTTGAATTGGCTGCTTATCGAGCAAACAGCTATACTCCTTAGGATAAGCTTGGCGTTGAGTATACTCGATAAGCCGGAACTGAACTCTCCTAAGTTCTTCATTACGGAGCTCGGCGGGAAAGTGGATCGCTGGATTTCTACAGCGCTGGATAAAGCGACAGATATATGCAATAACTCGCAATGCCTTGTCGAATCTGGAGAATCGTTCCAGAAGGTTATAGGAGGGTAGCTGTGAGACATTGCACTTCACTGCGCGTTGTTCAATCTCTGTCTCAAGTACCGTAACAGGAACTGACCATTGGCTTGCGTAAGCTAGACGCTTTGAGTCATGTTTACGTTAGCAATTGCGTTCTAGAGACTGGGTCTTTAGTTTACATTATAAATTGCGCATGAGAATATGAATCTTTATGTTAAGTGGTTGTGCTGTTATGTTTATGTTAGAGCCGGGAATCTGGATATTTATGTTAGCAGAGCTGCAGCTGTGCGTTAAGTGGACGTTAAGTGTACGTAGTGATTGAAACGGGTCTAATAAGTCTGAAAGGGCTAAGTAATTGGGATAGCGACTTATACTGAAATGTTGTTTATGATTGCAATAAGATTGCTGGGTGATAACTCCTCCCTTTCTTAAAAAGAATCATCCCCGATTCTTAATGAGTTCTTTTTTTTGAAGATTCAATTTGTTCGCGTAATTGGTTTAATATGTCAAGCTGTGTTTCTGTAGTTTGAGTGTTATGGTACTTTGGATTACTTGACGATATCAATTTCAGTATTTTGAGGGGATTAAGATTTATTAAAGGGCAGAGTTAAAGAAGCTTTACCATAATAAAAACAAAAATAAGTATAAATAATAAAAAGGTTATTTTTGAATGATTACTTTCTAATTTTATTTTTGATAGTATATTTGTATTTTCTAATTGAAGTTCAGTATTATTAGTAACTTGATATTCACTAACGAAGTAGTTTGTGAATTTATTGTGTTTTACAAAATTAAGAATTTTTTCTTTTACATTGGTGTAGGTAACATTGTTTATGGTTACTATGGTTTTAAATGTAACAAGGACAATGCCTGTAAGCCAGGTTTCGTTAATACAGTTTGTGCCGGATACTAAAATAGCTCCTTCTGGATTAGGGAGATTTACAAAACAGTTTGCTTCAAAATTAATGTGGGCAAAACTATTATAAATTTCTCTTTTAAAGTTATCAATGTTGTAAAACGTGTTATTACATTACTCCTCATATATATGCAAAATCCAATTAAGATCGGATCACTATATCATATAGCTGCCATAGGAACGATCGGTCGAAAATTAAGTTGTATGAAAAAACATTTTGTTTTTCAAGATATCTGGGCCAAACTCGGCATTTATCAAGATCGGAACTCTATATCATATAGCTGCCATAGGAACGATCGGTCAAAAAGTAGATTCTTGATTTTTCAAGAAGTCTTGACCAACCTCGACATTTATGAGTTTTACCATGCTCCTCACATATTAGTAAAGTCCTATTAAGATCGGGCCACCATATCATATAGCTGCAATAGGAACTACCGGTCAAAAATTATGTTGTTGTATGGACAATCTTTTTGTATTTCACGGTATATTGACCAAACTCGGCATTTATTAGTTTAACTATGCTCCTTATATATATACAAAATCCTATCAACATCGGACCACTATATCATACAGCTGCCATTAGAGCGATCGGTCGAAGTCCAGGTTTTTGATAAAAAACATTTTTATACCGTTGCAGAGGGTATTATAATTTTGTCGTGAAGTGTTCAACGCATGGAAGGAGACATCTCCGACCCCATAAAGCATATATATTCTTGATCAGCATCAACAGCCGACTCGATATAGCCATGTCCGTCTGTCTGTTTCTATGCGAACTAGTCTCTCAGTTTTAAACCTATCTTAATGAAACTTTGCAGAAGTCCCTTTTTCTGTTGCACGCATCACATATGTCAAAATCAGCTGGATCGGACCACTATATCATATAGCTTCCATAGGAACGATCGGTCTAAAATTAAGGTGTTGTATGAAAAAATAATTTTTTTTTTCAAGATATCTTGACCACACTCGGCATTTATTAGTTTTACTATACTCCTGATATTTATGCAAAATCCTATTAGGATCGGACCACGTTATCATATAGCTTCCATAGGATCGATCGGTCGAAAATTAAAAAAAGTTATATAAAAAAACATTTCATTTTTCAAGATATTATTTCAAGATATTATTTATTTACTATGTTCCTCATATATACGCAAAATCCTATTAAGATCGGACCACTATATAATTATATAAAAAAACATTTTGTTTATCAAGATATCTTGTCCAAACTCGGCATTAACTATTTTCCCTGTGCTTCTTATATACGGGCAAAGCACTATAAGTATTATGAAAAGGTTGGGTCTACAAGGGTATTAGATCTTCGGCGTGCCGAAGATAGTCTTTCTTTCTTTCAGCATTTATTAGTTTTACTAAACTCCTCATGTATAGGCAAAATACTATTAAGATCGGACCACTAAATCATATAGCTGGCATGGGAATGATCGGTCGAAAATTAAGTTGTTGTATGAAAAAACATTTTGTTTATCAAGATATCTTGACCAAACTCGGTATTTATTAGTTTTACTATACTCCTCATATGTAGGCAAAGTCCTATTAAGATGGGACAACTTTATCATATATCTGTTTTAGGACCGATCGGTCGAAAATTAATCTGTTGTATGAAAATACATTTTGTTTTTCAAGTTATCTGGACAAAGCTCGGCATTTATTAGTTTTACTCTACTCCTTATATTTAGGCAAAATCCTGTTATGATCGGAGAACTATATCATATAGCTGCCATGTGAACGATCGGTCGAAAATTAAAATTTTGTTTCTTAAGATATCTTGTCCAAACTCGGCATTTATTAGTTTTACTATACTCCTCCATATATAGGCAAAATCCTAGTAAGATCGGACCACTATATCAGATAGGTCCGCTAGGAACGATCGGTCAAAAATTTAGTTCTTGTATGGAGAAATTTTTTTTTCCACGATATATTGACCAAACTCGGCACTTCCTAGATACGGGCAAAGCACTATGAACATCATGAAAAGGTTGGGCCTGTAAGGGTATTAGATCTTCGGTGTGCCTAAGATAGCCTTTCTTTCTTGTTTTTTTTAATATTAGTTGTTCACAAAGTGTACCTTAATATACAAACTCTGAAAAGAAAAAATAATTTATGATATGTTTAAATTAATGTTGAAATGGTGGATGTAGATTGCTTACCTTGTTTAAGAATATTCGTCCTCGATAATCAACTTCTAGTGGCGAGTCTAGTTCTTTCGATAAATTTGATGGCATGGAGCTTAATGTTTCATCATATATTTCAAACTATGATAAATGTAAAAGTAATTATTAAATTGCATAACTGAAACATTTTATTCACAAATATGTACATATACATACATATACATAAATATACGTACATACATACATATATCAGTCGGAGATGTCTCTTTTAATGCTTACTTATACACACATTCATGACGAAATTACTTTTCCACCAGAAACAAGAATATGATCAAAGCGTACATATGTAAGTTTGTGTTTTGTGTGCAAATTAACCGATTAGTGGCTACTAATTGGAAAAAATATGTTTTTACGTGGGAGGCTGACGGCTTCCGATTTATTTGAATCCAAGATTAGAACTAGAGTACAATTGAGAACTTATGCTGCAAGTCAGCTATGGTTATGATAAAGCTTATTCTCTTTAAGCTCAAAAGCTCGGGGTGATCTTATGCTGCGAATCAGCTGTGTTTATGCTAACGCTTCTTTCCTTAAAGTTAAAAAGCTCGCGGGGTGGCTTGCGTAAGCTAGACGCTTTGAGTCATGTTTACGTTAGCAATTGCGTTCTAGAGACTGGGTCTTTAGTTTACATTATAAATTGCGCATGAGAATATGAATCTTTATGTTAAGTGGTTGCGCTGTTATGTTTATGTTAGAGCCGGGAATCTGGATATTTATGTTAGCAGAGCTGCAGCTGTGCGTTAAGTGGACGTTAAGTGTACGTAGTGATTGAAACGGTTCTAATAAGTCTGAAAGGGCTAAGTAATTAATATAGCGACTTATACTGAAATGTTGTTTATGATTTCAATAAGAATTGCCTTGCGGGCTGGGTGATAACTCCTCGCTTTCTTAAAATGAATCGTCCCCGATTCTTAATGATTTCTTTTTAAAGATTCAATTTGTTAGTTTAATTGCTTTAATATGTCAAGCCCTGTTTCTGTAGTTTGAGTGTTATGGTTCTTTTGATTACTTGACGATTTAAATTTCAGTATTTTGAGCTCTACCATAATAAAAATAAAAATTAGTATAAATAATAAAAAGGTTATTTTTGAATGATTACTTTCTAATTTTATAACAATTTTTGATAGTGTATTTGAATTTTCTAATTGAAGTTCAGTATTATTAGTAACTTGATATTCACTAACTAAGTAGTTTGTGAATTTATTGTGTTTTACATAATTAAGAATTTTTTCTTTTACATTGGTGTAGGTAACATTGTTTATGGTTACTATGGTTTTAAATGTAACAAGGTAAATGCCTGTAAGTGAGGTTTAGTTAATACAGTTTGTGCCTGATACTAAAATAGCGCCGTCTGTTATAAATTCTTTTAGTTTATTTTTTTGGGATAATTTTATACAACTTGTAAATTTTTTAAGGAGATTTACAAAACAGTTTGGTTCAAAATTAATGTGGGCAAAACTATTACAAATTTCTCTTTTAAAGTTATTAATGAGGTAAAACGTGTTATTACATTTAGCAATTTTGTCGTTAAAGAAAAATTTTCCATCTGCTTGGGATATGGCTTTAGCGTGGTATAACTTACAATTGTAATTAATTGTAGGGTATTTTATAAAAACTATGATTAAACCTTGGTATGAAACGATCGAAAAAGAGGAAATGTCTAAAAGATCGATTAGAGTGATATTGAGTGTTTCGTGATTAAATATATTTATCGTCTTGTTTATTTAAGATTTTTGGATTCAATATTCTGGCTTCGGAAAATGTGATAGTATCCAGCAGATTTTGTAGGTCAAGTGATAACAACTTATGTCGATATTTTTTCATAAAGAATTCCTGATTAAATTTAATATCTATTAAAAGATTTGTGATTTTAGTGACTTCTTTAAAAATTGCAGAATTGATTTGATTTTGCTTATTATTGTTTTGAACAAGTTCATTGATTTTAGTTTGGATAGTTATCATGTCATCATGGTCTGGTGTTCCTGTGATCCATTTAAAAATTGTGCCTAGTTCATTGATACTACGTTTGGCAATTTTGTGAGGTGTAAGTTCAGAAAGGAGTGTTTTGATTAAATTCAATTCCAAGGTTACTTCCGAATCGATTGTATTGTTTTTGTTTTTTAAAAAAATTTAATTCTTTTTCAAAAATATTGTTATAAAAACTTAGAAACATGAAAAACTTCTCAGTATTATCTGTATCCTCAAGTAGGACATAGTCATCATTTGAATAATTAATAATGTCTGCACCGCAGAACGGCAGTATAACAGATAACTTACATAAAATGTGCATTCTAAAAATCATTAAAAAAACATAAAATAGGTTAGAATTTGATATTGTATTTGTGAATAATACGATCCCTATTGTTTATTTTGACTTTATTTCCTAAGTCTTCTTTAACTACCTGTTTTTTAAATCTAGTTGTAGTTTTTTTCGTTCGCCATGTTTTTTTTTTCATAAATTATTTTACCTACTTGATAATTTTTTGGTGACCCCTTTTTTTTATGGTACTCTAACATTTTGGCTTGGGCTGATTTTAATTTGTCTTACAATTTTGGGTGTTCTATTTTGTTAAATAATATGTCACATGGTTTTTGTTGAGTTGTCGATTGAATTGTGTTGTTATACTCTTAACCTGCTCGGTATACGAATTCGGAATGATCCATTATATTGCATTCTTCTTGAATACAACGAGAAATTTCGATAATTGTTGAATGAACTCTTTCTACCTGACCGTTGCTTAAACTGTGTCTGGGGTCTGCATGATAAATCGCTATACCTGAAGGAGACATTGACGATTTGAATTGTGTCGAGGAAAACGTAGGTTCGCTGTCCATCATTATGGATTTAGCGAAAGAAAAAGTTTGGATAAGTTCCAACACTTTGTTTGCCATATCTGCTTTGTCATTGATTTCCTTAATCACTAAAAATTTAGAATATGCGTCTAGGCATGTCAAGAATGTTAATTTTTGAGCATAAAAAATGTCAATATGTAATTGTTCACCTTCTCTCTCCGGAATAGGGGCTTTAGAAATAGGAATTTGCTTAGGGTTTCTGTTATATTTATTTTTATTACAAATTTCGCAGTAGCGTATGTGTTGCTTAAGGGTTTTATATAGTGTTGGCCAATAATAGTATTTGAGAATTTGCTTAATATTTTCGTCCAAACCTCTATGAGCACGAGCATGTGTTACTTCTTTTATAATTTCTTGGTCATTTTTGTTTTCGATGTCTAGGACAAACTTTTTTTTAGAGTTTTGGATTTCGTATAAATCTTCGAGACTGCCATGAACTCCTGTAGTCAGGTTTGGTTGAAGAAATTCTTTAAGTATGATTATTAAATTGTGTACTGTGTCGTATTCTATAATATGTCTTGTTTTGTTGAAAGCGTCATATTTTTCATGAATTGTTATGTTGTTTTTAGAACCAAGTAATTGTTGTTTAAATTGGTTCAATGGTTTGTGTGTTTTTTCAATTACGCTTTTATAACTACTGTCGGCTGAATGGATGGTTTCATTATTGTTAGTGCGGGTGGCGTCAGATAAATAATCCTTGATTATTGTTGTTGGTGAAAAAAAGCACTTTATTAGAAGTTTCTGCTGCATGTAACAAACTCTGCTGGTTAAGTGATTTTACATATTTTTGGTTGGAGTGATGGAGGTGGAAAGGAGACCACAAGGAGAGTGCTGAGCGCATCTGGGATCGACTTAGTGAGTGAGTCTCTCTCAGTGAGTGAGTCTGTCTCACTGAGTGACTCTCTCACACTGAGTAAGGCTCAGTCAATGCTGTGTTCACATTAGCACTGAACTGGCATGAACATGAACATGAACTATGGCGGTAGGCAATATACTGACCCCCTTGTGCTGGAGAAGGGACGTAAGCGACGTCCGTATAGTAGCACGTCTCGGGCTTGGGGGTTGTGCCGCTGGAGGGCGAGGAGCCAGAAGCTCTTCTGGTGGGCCTGTTGTCTGACCGAGAGGGTCGAGCGCTACGGGGATCGCGCATGTGGAGTAAGGTGTGGTGGTCCTTTATGCAAATTTTGCACTTGGCTCCACTACGGCATGATTCCCCTGAATGCTGATGAGCCAGGCAGTTGGAGCAATATTTGTTACTTAACACGGCTCGGAGACGCTTCTCGGGCGTGAGCTTCAAGAAGCGCTGACACTTGCGTAGTGCATGGATGCACTACTGTAGGGCTCAATTATGGAGTGTCAGTACGATGCAAGAGCGTATTGTGACGACCCTTGCACGTAAAACAATTGTGAGCACTTCCCAATCCCTTAACTGATCACCCCTAGCGAAACAGTTCTCAAATGAGTTGAGCCTTCTAGTGGTAGGAGGTTCTGTTTGAACAATTCTGGAGTGCGCTGGAGTATTCGCGTTGGCTTAAGCTCTTCTATCGCTTCTAGAGTGCGATAGCGTTCTAAGAGGAAGGCGTTCATCTCAAGCCAAGATGAGATGTCGTTTTTTCTGGAGATGGACTGTTCCCATAAGGAGAGTATTAATTTGGGTAATTTGGAGGAACATAGGAACACGAGGATACAGTCCCAGTTTTCTATGTTGATTTCGGATAACTCCAGAGCTGTTAAGCAACCTTGAATGGTGCTCTGAAATTCCTTAATTGCCGTTCCAGACTCTTGGGAGATTGGCTGCAGGTTGAAAAGAATCTTGAGCTGGCTGTTGACTAACAATTTTCGGTTCTCAAAACGCTCAGTCAGATTGGCCCAGGCTGATCGGAAGCCATCGTTAGTCAAAGGTGAATTCGATACAATCGCCTGAGCCTCACCGCTGGTTTTCGCATTGAGATGGAATAATTTCTCGACCTCTGATAACCTATTTATGTAAATTGCGGTAAAGAGGTCTCGAAATGTGGGCCAACGTATGTAATCTCCGCTGAAGATTTCTGTGTCGCAAGGAGGTAAGCGACACCCTGTGGGAGCATATGTCAGAATGGTGGACTGAGCGGATGGTCTATTTTGGGCGTTAGCGGTATCGATTTGCTCGCTAAGTTTAGCGGCGCATCTCTCATATACCATGTAACAATAGTCGTACTTGGACTGCATAACTGAAATGGTTTCCAGTGAAC